CCTAAGAATGGAATTGCTGGATCTTGTGGTAGACTGATTCCCATTTTCCTGAGGAATAGCCATACTGATTTCCAAAGTGGCTGTACAAGTTGGCACTCCCACCAACAGTGGAGGAGTATTCCCCTTTCTTATGTGTCTTTCAGCCATTTTAGATTCCTCTATTGAGAATTGTCTATTTAGTTCTGTACCCCAATTTTTAATTAGATTATTTGGGGTTTTGGAGGCTAGCTTCTTGAGTTATTTGTAAATTTTGGAGATCAGCCCTCTGTCAAATGTGGGGTTGGTCTATATCTTTTCCCAGTCTGTGGGCTGCTGTTTTGTCTTGCTGAGTGTGTTCTTTTCCTTACAGAAGCTTCTCAGTTTCAGGAGGTCCCATTTATCAATTGTCGATTTCAGGGTCTGTGCTCCAGGTATAATGTTCAGGAAGTGGTCTCCTGTACCAATTAGTTCAAGGGTACTTCCCACTTTCTCTTCTAATAGATTCAGTGTGGGTGGATTTATGTTGAGGTCTTTGATCCATTTGGAATTAAGTTTTGTGCATGGCGATAGACATGGATCTATCTGCAGTCTTCTACATGCCAGCATCCAGTTATGCCAGCACCATTTGTTGAAGATGCCCCCTTTATTCCATTGTATAGCTTTAGCTTCTTTGTCAAAAATCAGGTGTTCGTAAGTATGTGGTTTAATGTCAGCGTTTTCAATTCAGTTCCATTGGTCTACCTGTCAATTTTTGAGCTAATACCAAGCTGTTTTCAGGACTATAGCTGTATAATAGAGCTTGAAATCAGGGATGGTGATACCTCTGGAAGTTCCTTTATTGTACAGGGTTGTTTTGACCATCCTGGGTCTTTTGTTTCCCCATATAAAGTTGAGTATTCTTTCAAGGTCTGTGAAGAATTGTGTTGGGATTTTGATGGAAATTGCATTGAATCTGTAGATTGTTTTTGGCAAGATTGCCATTTTTATTGTGTTGATCCTATCTATCCAAGAGCATGGGAGATCTTTCCATTTTCAGGTACTTCTTTAATTTCATTCTTTAAAGACTCAAAGTTTTGGCTATACACATCTGTCACTTGTTTGTTTAGCATTACCCCAAGATATTTTATGTTGTTTGTAGCTATTGTATAGGGTGATGTTTCTATGATTTCTTTATTAGCCATCTTATCGTCTGTATATAGTAGGGCTACTGATGTTTTTTGAGTAATCTTTTATCCTGCCACTTTGCTGATGGTGTTTATCTGCTGTAGGAGTTTCCTGGTAGGGTAAGGTCACTTATGTAAATATCATATCATCTGCAAACAATGAAAGTTTGACCTCTTCCTTTCCAATTTGTATCCCCTTGATTTCCTTTTGTTGTTTTATTGCTCTAGTTAGAACTTTAAGTCCAATATTGAAGAGATATGGAGAGAGTGGACAGCCTTGTCTTGTTCCTGATTTTAGAGGAATCACGTTGAATTTCTCTCCATTTAGTTTGATGTTGGTTGTTGGATTACCGTATATTGTTTTTATTATGTTCAGGTATGTTCCTGTTATCCCTGATCTCTCCAGGACCTTTACCATGAAGGGGTGTTGGATTTTTCAAAGGCTTTTTCAGGATCTAGTGAGATCATCATGTGGTTTTTCTTTTTCAGTTTGTTTACATTGATGGATTTTCTTATGTGCAATCAACCTTGCATCCCAGGGATGAAGCCTACTTGATCATGGTGGATGATTTTTCTGATATGTTCTTGGATTCCATTTGCCAGTATTTTATTGAGTATTTTTACATTAATGTTCATGAGGGATACTGGTCTGTAGTTCTCTTTCTTAGTTGTGCCTTTGTATAGCTTGGTTATCAAGGTAATTGTAGCTTCATAAAAAGAGTTTGGCAATGAACCTTCTGCTTCTATTGTGTGGAACAATTTGAGGAGTATTGGCATTAGCTCTTGTTTGAATTTCTAGTAGAATTTTGCACTGAAGCCATCTGGTCTGGGCTTTTTTTGGTTGGGAGACTTTTGATGACTGCTTCTATGTCATTAGGGGTTATAGGTGTGTTTAAATTGCTTATCTGTTCTTGATTCAATTTTGGTAAGTGATATCTGTCCAGAAAATTGTCCATTTCCTTTAAATTTTCCAATTTTGTGGAGTACAGGTTTTCAAAGTATGACCTGCGGATTCTCTGGATTTCCTCACTGTCCATTGTTATGTCCCCCTTTTCATTTCTGATTTTGTTAATTTGCCTGTTCTCTCTCTGCCTTTTGGTTAGTTTGGATAAAGGTTTTCTATCTCGTTGATTTTCTCAAAGAACCAACTCTTGGTGACATTGATTCTTTGAATTGTTTTCTTTGTTTTGAGTTTATTGATTTCTGCCCTCAGTTTGATTATTTCCTGGAGTCTACTCCTCCTGGGTGAATTTGCTTCCATTTGTTCTAGAGCTATCAGTTGTGATGTCAACTCTCTGGTTTGACTATTCTCTAGTTTCTTCATGTGAGCACTTAGAGCTATGAACTTTCCTCTTAGTACTGCTTTCAAAGTGTTCCATAAGTTTGGGTATATTGTGTCTTCATTTTCATTGAATTGTAGGAAGTCTTTAATTTCTTTATTTCTTCATTGACCCAGGAATCATGCAATTGTGTGTTATTAAATTTCCATGAGTTGGTAGGTTTTCTGCAGTTTATGTTGTTCTTGAATTCTAACTTTACAGCATGGTGGTCTGATAAGACACAGGGGGTTATTCCAATTTTTCGTTGAGCCTCTTTGTAGAGGGCAGTTTCTGTCCCACCCCAACCTGAACATGACACACATACCTCTTTCCAGTTACACTCCTCCTACCCAAGGGTAATTACCATACTGATTTCTATCACTAAACATTGTTTGTTAAAATTTTATAAAGTAGAATCATATGACAGCTCCTCATTTGTATCTGGCATCTTTCATTTAATATTACAGTTATGAAATTCACCATTTAGTAGTAGTTATTCATTATTGTTGCTGTTTAGAATTCAACTGCATGATCATACCATAATTTATTCATTCTACTGTTAATGAACATTTGAGTAATTTTCACTTTGGGACTATTATAAGTAGTGATTCTACCAGCATTCTATTATATATCTTGGTAAATGTATACATTCACTTTGTTGGTATAAAGTTAAAGACAGAATTTCTGGGATATAACATATGTGTTGTAGAATATTAGATTAAAATGTATTACATTTGTTTATGCTGTGGAATATTTGTTTAATGTTGCATTCTTTTATGTTGCATTTGTTTATCTATGTGAAGCCTCTCATTTCCTTTGGAAATAAAAAACAAAACCTCTTCTCTAAAGCAATGCATTGTTTGACTTACACTTTAAAGTTAAGGCATTCTTAAAATATCTTTCAATCTCATGTCTCTTAGCAGCCATTTGCTTATCAGCAATCTAAAAATTAAAATCCACATAATAGTATGTACGTTCAGACTCCCTGGGTATCTTCCATTGTTACATTTCTTTTTTCTTTTATATTACTTTTACTCTTTAAAGACTTTATTATTTTTAAACTATTTATTTCTATGGCTATCTATACTCTTTTTCTTTTCTTTCTTAAACCTACGTGTATTTTTTAAATATGCCGAAACCTGTCAAGAGGTTTTTGTCCCCATCTGAGTCTCTCTGTACTTCCATATCTCTATCATTTTCTGACCATGTGAGCCTTTAAACTGCTAAGAAGCACAGCTAGGACCTCCACCAAGGTTTTGGTGGCAGGCTCCACCCACTTCTTGGGTCATGAAAACCAAGCCTAGATGCAGAGCCAGTTGGAGGTGTGTGACCTAGAACTGCATTCAATCTCCAGCTCTGTAATACCAGTGCTCTGCACAGTGACAGACATTTTTTACTTAGATTTTTGTTCCTACTTAATATACTGGCTGCTCAAGGGTTCACTGTCCAGCAGAAACTCTTAAAGCAGCCCTGTCCTTTTTTGTTTGACGCTTTCTCAGGCTGTATGGAAATTCCAGCCTCACATTTGAATGCCAAGATGTAGTTGCTTGGTTTTTTTTTGGGGGGGGCGCCACCCAGCTCCCAAATAAATGGGTGGAGACTTATTCTTACTTATGAATGCCCAGCTTTAGTTTGATTTGTTTCTATTAAGCTTTTCTAATTTAATTTAACCTGTTTGTCTTCTTCTATGTTTTGCCTCTGGGCTTCTACGTTTCTTTATTCTAAATGTCTTTCTTTCCTTCTTACTCCATAGCTAGTTGTGTGGGTAATGCCTGGACCATGGTGTTCTCCTCTGCTTCTCCTTTTCTCCCTCCTCTCTCTACTCTCTTCTTATTCTCTTATTTATTCACTCTGCCTTCCAGCCCCACCTGTCTCTCTCTCTCCTGCCTACCTATAGGGCAGTCAGCTCTTTATTAGTCCAACCATGTGTTTTATGTAGGCCTCACTTTGATTTCTTGATCAAATGCTGAGAGAACCAACTCCTGAAAAGTGTTCTTGTGACCTTCACACATGTGCAATGGCATACATACACTTGCATGTTCTCATACACACACACACACACACACACACACACACACACCATGATACATACAAATTTAAAATATTTCTCTAGCTACAGCATACAAAATGGGCAGAAGGTAGGTAAGGATGAAATCAATGGTATTGTGTAGAGGTGATGGTGGTCTCACACAAAAGGTGGTGTTATGGATAGGAAGCACTGAGTACTTAGAGGAAAATTTATTAGGTGAACCTGGTTCAATTGATTGTATAGTATGAGGGAGATGGACTGGTTGAAGGTGACTTTTAGTTTTTAATTTGGGCATTTTAGTGGATATATTATTCATGAAACATGAGCAAATATGTAGAGAGTTGAGCTTTAGGTGAGTGGAGTCTCTGAATTAGATTTTGAATATGAGACACTGTATGTTCTATGAGATAGCCAAATGGTGATTCCAGGAGATAGGTGAATACACCAGTCAAGAGCTCAATATAAATTAAATATATCACATGGGAGAATAGTTGTTTGGTACTCACCTGATCAAATAGAGTTCTTTATTCCATGGGTAAATATTTAAGACTGGTCCAACCCCAATCATGTGGTTATGACATTCTCCAACATTTTCAATATATTCATGCTTTAATGGTACTTTGCTGAGGAGTTCAAATTCCTCGGGTGCTTTTTGAAGTACTTGTTGTGCTGCATAGAATCCATCCACTAACAGTGTTTTGCCACCCGTTCCTTCATGCTTAAGACAATGAAATACTTGAATGCTAAAGAAAGCAAACAAATTCTTTTTTTCAGTGGATAAAAGAAAACATACTGAAATTAGTATATTATATAAGAAATGATTACTAACCTACTTTGGTAATTTTAATAAAGAAAGAACTCTATTTCCTAACTGTTTTCCCTCATATAAAATTGTATAATTTTACTCTTAAATAATATGACTATGCATTAATTTCAAAGATGTATAATATGCATTAGGGTATCTATATAGCAGGGAAGACCTGGGGATATAGACATGAACAAAATATGGTGTCTTTTTTGAAGAAGCTCATAATCTAGTAAGAGATGAAGCTAGTATAAATAAAGTTTGAATAAAAAAATAAAGGTTTACACAGATGTAGTGAGCTTCCTAAAAAAAACCCTTTATTTTGTTAGGGTGTTATATAAAAAAATATTTGAGTGAGGAAGGGAAGAGCTTTGCTTAGTCTTAAATAATGAGTAGGAATCGAACTGTAATGATATTGAAGCATGGAGAAAGGACCCTAGGAAGAGGCAAGCCATAGTCAAATATGGTGGTATAAATCAAAAAGGCATATTCAAGGAAAAGAGTATGAAGTTCCTGTTGTCACAGCATAGAGCCACAGAATGCTTTTAAATTATTAAATATTGACATTTTTGAAGTTGAGTGTGGCTGGCAAGATGGTTCATCATGTAAAGTCACTTGCCTCTAAGCTTGATGACCTGAATTTGAGCCCTAGAAACCATGTAGTGTAAACTGGTTTGAAAAAAAATGGCCCCCAAAGGGAGTGGCACTATTAGGAGGTGTGGATTTGTTGGAGAAAGTGCATCATTGTGGGGACAGGCTTTGAGGTCTCTTTTACTCAAGTTTCCCTCAGTGTGACTTTCAATCAACTTCCTGCTGCCTTCTCAGCAGGATGTAGAATCCTCAGATCCAGTGCCAGGCCTGCCTGCATGCCTCCATGCTTGCCACCATGATGATAATGGACTGAACCTCTGAAACTGTAAACAAGCCACTCCAATTAAATATTTCCTTTATAAAAGTTGCTGTGGTCATGGTGTCTCTTCAAAGCAATAGTAACTCTAATTAAAACATAGTGTTGGGGGAGATAAGTGACCCCACAGGTTATCTTTTCACCTACCCTTGTGTGCATTGGCACACAAACCCAAATACCCACTCCTCTTTATACAATGAAGTTAAGACTAAAACAAAATTTTGTTTTGTTTTAAGACATAGTTCAGTTGGTAGAATACCTGCCTACCACACACAAAACCCAGGGTTCAATCCCAAGCACCAGCATGATTGATGTGTAGTGACATAAGCCTGTAATACCAAAACTTAAGAGGGCCATCCTTATCAGAATTCAAGGCCAATCTAGGCTATATGGGAAAACATCTAAACAAAATAAAACAAAACAATCAGAAAACTCCACCACTGCCAACAAAACCCCACCTTTCCTTAATAAATTCCAATTATGCCTCATAGGAAAAAATCATTTAGAAAGTTGATTGTGCCAACATAAAGGACTCTAAGGGATAAATGCATGGACCCCAGGAATGGGAAGGGGCAGGAACTCCTGAGCTAATTGGGAGCATGAGGGTAGGGGAGAGGGAGCTTCCAGAATGAGAGCAGGAGAAGGGGAGAGGAGAGAAGGAAATGGAGGAGCAGAAATATTGAGTTGGGGGAAGAATAGAGAAGAGCAGGATCAGAGATACCATATGAGAGGGAGCCATTATAGATCTGAGGAGAGATCTGGGACTAGGGAGATTTCCAGAGACCTATAAGGATGACACGAACTGACAACCCAGGCAATGGTGGAGAGGATAACCTAAACGGCCTTCCCC